AAGTTTTCCAGCCTGTCTGCATCTCACGTACGGATACGTGAAAATTCCACATAGGCAATTTTATGAATTCAGGACCGAAGTAGCTAGAGGGCTGGAACTTTCTAAGCATAACCAACGACGGCGTTTGACCATGTGATCGTCAAAACGACTCTCACGCCCCTCCCTCCCCCCCTCCCCCCATGTATGTAAACAAAATTTGACGTAACTCCGCAACCAGAGCAGTTGGAGTGCTGAATTTTCTGAGACTGGCCCAGGATCGTGTTTCATCAAGCAAGCGCGAAAACAGCATTCATTTTTCCCCTCAGGTAGGAACATGTGAAATTTGATGTAACTCCGCAACAAAATAGATGCAGTGCTGGAATTTTTTGGTATTTTTAGCTAATGTCGTATGCTAGAAACCACACACGCAGCGCGGAAAATAGATACATATAACATTTTTGACCAAAAGAAGAAGAAAAGGAGCAAAGAAACGAACAAAGGCAGTAAGCTAACCAATAACTGATGCAACTTCGATCACAACAATCACAAAAAAAATTGTCAGTTTCACAGAGAAATGAAAGTATTTATGTCACGATGAAACGATATTTGAATAAAGTATTATATGTAAAACAGTTACAGAGCCTAGATATGCTAGTCCCACAAATTTCTATGGCTCATATAGTGAGAATTTTGTGCCCCGATAACCACTTCTGCGCATTGTCGGTGAATTCTGCAGACTTAGATATTTTCGCTTTAATTTTTCCACACGACGCGCCTGTCGCATTTGTCGCTGAAAATCAATATTTTTGATGAAACAGGCAAATAAATACGAAATATTTCAAATTATAAACAAAGAATTATAAGGCTATTTCCAATAAATAAGCAAATATTTTGGCATTTCTACGGAATGATAAGTAATGGCCATTTGAAGGGGGCCGAATCAGAAGTGGACGGTTCAAGTGGGGCAGCAAAAGTAGGTTAAATTGTTAAAAAAATTTTTCCGGCCATTGGTAGGTCGAATCGTAATTTCTGAAGTAACAGCCAGTCTGAATCGTGGAAAATACAGAATGGCCGAAACCCTTGAACTTTAATATGAGATGGAATTAGTAAATGGATTATGATGGGAAAGATAGTGGGACTGATGGTAGGGGCTGGAAACCTAAGAATCTGTGTATTTGTTTGTTACTTGGAATACCCAAAAATCGGAATACAACAACAAAAAAAAAAGTACTAACTGGAAAGAGAAAGAAGAATGTAAGGATTTCCCAAAACAACTATTTTCAGACAACAGATGGACAAAACAGATCACTGATTGGCATCTAAGACATCTTAAGGAGAAAACTGCTAGTAAAATAGGTGAATCCGTCCATAAAAATGCTTATACAGAGAGATCGAGACGAGAAATTTCACATCGTCCATGCTTCTCATGGCTTTTATCAAAGCACGATTTCGAAAGTTAAACTGGAAAGGTGATCTGGGTAACAGTGGCATCTTGCCAAATCCGAAGTATTTAACCTAGGTTCGAAGGGTCTGACATAGCTGCACTCAACATGTACAAGTATCCCAGTAATATCACTAAATGGGCTTCCAAAAATCGATTGTTCGATCGGTTCTGGTATTTTTCGTTACAAATTTATACATTTTGCAATATATATTTAAATTTTAATTTTGCATATATAGTGGCCATTAAAAATTTCTTCAAGTATAAAAGGGGAAAAAACCTCGGGTAAAACTTCCCTCTACGACAATCTGGCACTTAAAAACTGGTATTTCCCGTAACAAATTCATACATTTGGCAATATATATTTAAATTTTAATTTTGCATATATAGCGGCCATTAAAAATTTCTACAAGTATAAAAGGGGAAAAACCTCGGGTAAAACTCCCCTCTACGACTATTTGATATTTGAAAAAAACCGAATACACATTTTGAATGGCCCTTATTTTGACTCAAAACTTATGCTGGAATCAAGCGGCTACATTGCTGCTATTTTCAAACGGTCAAGAAAATATTTACTATTCTGTATGCTCGCCA